AGGTCTCAGCAAATTTTATTCTCTTGAGAATAAAGTACCAAACAAAAACTTTATGAAAATTACTTATATTTTAAATTTGATTTTTTTTTTTTTACTAGCAGAAAGAATTCTGGAAGTGCATAAATAAAATACTTTCGCTTAAAAAAATATTTTGAATATATGTTTTTTTTTGAAGAAAGACGATGTTTTTTTGATTTTGTGACAGTGGCATGAAGTTTGTCCAATTAAAGACGGGTTTCATGCATCAAATCACAACTGTGGGGAGAAATTAGGGCTCCCCTTACCTGTACCATTCGGGCCCTCATATGGCCGGAGATCTATCGGCTATTTTCTGTAGCGGCGTATTTGTATTGAATTATGTCATGATGGAGTTACTATTCTATTCTATATTTAGAGCATTGTATTTTTGTGATTAGTCGTTTTTTTTCTTTAAAATCTGACTAGGCAGTAGAGGCGGCTAAGCCAATCTTTAAATTTAAGTTAGTAAAGTCGACAAATTTAGGTCGAATTAACTACTTTTTCAAATTAAAAATAAATTGTACTTATTTATTTTATTATTTTTGCATTATTAATATGACGTAAATACAAATAGCTCAAATTAAATCCTACCAATTTTGATAAATGTTCTAACTATATTCAACTTCAAAGAAGATAATACTTAGAGAGGTTATCCTGGTTGACATATTATAACAAATTACGCATATTGACGCATGTACTGTACGGTGCAGATTCTGATGGACGACATACAAAAATTATACTAAATTTTTGATTACATGTACAAGTTAACATAACGTAAAATTCTAATATTTAGCAAGTGTTAAGATAAGGGTTATAGAAAATAGCTTTAGTTTTAGGAATTTTTTCATTTATAAATTGTACGCAATATCTTGATTTCCACACATCCGTCTTAATTTGCCCTTTCGTAGCGTATTATCTTACCTGTCATCTGCATATTTTACGTACAGTACGTATGTATGTATATACGTACGTACGTACATACAGTGCTTATCAGATATATTCGTTTCAGCGTATGCATAATTATTATTCCATCACGTGGCTGATCGGCAATTACATTAATGTCGTTAACGGGATAACTATGATCCCTATTAAATTTCGGCGTAATATCTGTCCTAAAATTCGTGAGATGCAAAGGATGCAAAGAAATATTATCATTAACGTAAAAAAAAAAATCTATAAAAGATGGGGTAAGTGGAATGAATCCTACATAAAACTAAACTATTGAATTATACTCTTTTAAAATGAATTACTACTTGATTGCAATTTTTGCGCTTATTGGCTACATTTTATATAAATGTTATATTTATCCTTTATATTTGTCACCGTTAAATAAACTTCCTGGTCCACCTGTTAGCAATTATATTTTAGGACATCATACTTCTTTTTTAAACAATAAACAAGGTGAAGCTTTTGCTCACTTAGTAAAACAATATGGTGGAATATTTCGATACCATGTTTTATTCAACCAACCCTATTTATCAGTTTCCGATCAAAAACTTGTTCAACAAATTTTGATAAATCGTGCATATGAATTTCCAAAATTTTTCATCAGCAAAACTTTGACAAAAGAAATGGTTGGTGAAGGTATTTCATTTTCTCAAGGTGATGTTCATAAACGACAAAGAAAGATGATGACTCCTTCATTCTCCTTTGCTGCTGTCAAGGTATTCTTTTGTAATAATCAATATTAATATTACTATTTGCTAAAAATTAATTCTTATATTTGAATTATTTCGATTTCTTAATTTAAGGAAATGCTTCCAATACTAGTTCAAGCCGGTCATAATTTGAGAGACAACTGGATGAAACAAATTGGTAATAAGAAAGAGGAAAGAATTACGATTACTGATTTAATTCCGAAGATAACCTTAGACATTATTGGTCTCGTTGGTATGTATTAGTCTAGAGAACTTTATAGTTTTATCAGTAGCTTTTCTAACTATAATTTTAATCATATTTAATTATTTTAATAGGATTTAATTACGAATTTAATTCTACTACTACCGATTCTGAATTGGCACGAGCATATCATTCATTATTTGGTGGTGGTGGTGTTTCATCTTTATTACTTGCTCTTACCGACTATATTCCATTCATCAGAAACATTCCATCTTCTTATTCCAAGCAACGTTTGGATGCTATTAAAATTGTTAATAGTGTTTCAGAGAAATTAGTTGCTGAGAAAAAAAATGGTACTGCTCGAGGAAAAGATTTCTTGTCTTTGTTGGTACAAGCAAATGAAGAATTGCCTGCTGATGAACAATTAACGAATTATGAATTAGTTAGTCAGGTAAAAAAAATTTATTTATTATACATAAAATATAATTTTATTGATTTTTTACTTAAAATTATATAAATTTTTAGGTTATGATATTACTCTTGGCTGGACATGAAACAACTAGTACTGCTTTAACTTGGACATTATACTATCTTGCAAAGAATCCTGATATTCAGGATCTTCTTCGTAAAGAAATACTTGACACATTTACTGATCGTAATCATTTTCCAACTTTTGATGAAATTGATCATTTGAAATTTTTAGAATGTGTCTTTAAAGAAATTTTAAGGATTATGCCACCTGGTACTATTGAATATTTCTTTTATCTTTTATCTTTTAATTTATTCTATTTTATTGTTATTAATTGTTTATCTTTATTTTATCTCTATTTTTTTAAAGCACCTTCACTTATACGTTATAATGCAAAAGATGAAATTATGAATGGTTACATTATTCCAAAGGTATTTTCCTAAATAACTTCCATAGTTCAATTTCATTTATATTGGTATTAATCTACACTGTATCTTAAAAATTCTTTTAGGGAACTCCATTGATGATTCCTATTTATGCAATTCATCATAATCCCTCGATTTGGGGTGACGATGCTGAACATTTTAATCCATCTCGATGGCTTGATCCAGAAGTAAAATCAAAAGTAACAAGTTGTAATTTCTTACCTTTTGGTGCCGGTCCAAGAAGTTGTTTAGGAATGAAAATGGCTCATTTAGAACTTAAAACTATTTTATCTATTATTATAAGAAATTTTGTGTTTAGAATAGTTGAAGGTTTTACTTTTGAAAAGATAACTTCTGGTTTTACTAAACCTATTCCTGGAATGGATTTATTCATTTCAAAAGTGGATTATTAAAAAAAATTTTTTTCCTTAAAATAAGGTCGTTAAATGATATTTATTTTAAACCATATTGAAAATTTTTTTTTTATCTTTAACTCACTTTTATAAATTAAGCCATAATATTGTAAAAAAAAAATTTATATCTTTTATGCTTCATTTAAGATATCTATTGAACAATAGTTTATTGAGCATATCTGCATCAGAATCAAGGAATATTCGAGCACGTGCTTATCCAATAATAGTAGGAAATGCTCGAATGACACGATATGCGTTAAACCCAGTGCTGTCACCTGGACTGGACTATTCCACTGGAACATTTCACTCCAGTCCAGTCCACTGGAACACAGGGTACTGGATTAGAAGGGTCGTTAGGGGGTGAGATAACATATTAAACACAAACTTAGTAGAGATCACATAATAATTAAGATTTTTCCGACAATATCCGAATTTATGTCGATCATTGCAAATCTATTGGTTGCAATATGTAAACATCGG